TAACATGTTGGGACACGTAACACAACTAATACAGTATCTTAAAAGTTTCTATTAAGAACTTGTGTTAATTAATAGGGGTCAATTTTAAACCTCGTCACCCCCAATATCAGTTTTCGTTTATGTCGACCTCTGGGAAACCGATTTCTACCCCAAGGGGTCGATATTGACCACTTTGGGAATCACACCATAACTGTAGACGACGCGTAAGTGAAAGTAAAACCCCGCTGTTACTAGCGTTCACAGATGTCGGTAAGCATTTAATTATTTGACACCTTAGTAGCAAAACTCACTATAGATATAGTATTGCTATCTAAAATAATAACCCAATATTTATACCTTGTTAATTGTACATTTGTTTATCCTAATTGATAATGTAAATATTACTATGTAAAACCACTGTATTTATTTATGAAAATAAATAAAAAAATATGCGGTCGGCAGTTACCGACGGGCTAGTTCAAAGATAAAACACTATAAACCAGGGAGGCTATTTGACGTTTAAAAGCCGACACGAACAAACACGTTTGCAACCCGAAAGTACTCAAATCATCCACCGCTTTTCATTCCTACATTTCCTGGTAACCACGTCAACATACATCACCTACCATAACAAAAACACGGTGACTCTCAGACATAACAAGGAAGTACATAATATACAAATATATTACTATACCGACCGACCGTGTGGTGACGGAATAAGAATACAAAATGTCAGCACCCCTATTCATCCCGTGGGTGTCGTAAGAGCCGACTAAGGGAGTAAACTACGCAGGACAACAGCACTGCAAAGAAAAGGAAAACTTGAAACAACCCCTATACTAGCCCGTCTGGCCAGCGTGGTATAGTAGGCCGGTATAGTAACCTCCATTCTAAGGAGAGGCCTATGTCCAGCAGTGGACTATTAAAGGCGGTTGACGATAATTATAGTGCGTTAGACGCACTATAATTATCGTCATCGTATCTAAAGAAGAAAAAAATTAAAGCAGTTAAAAGTAAATAATTAACATAGGGAAAGAACTAGGATGCATGTAGTACCAAAGTTATGTAATAAATATCAAATACTAAGGAAGGACAAGAAAATAAAATGTAAAATAAAATTAAGACTAAAAGAATTGTTTGGATATGGTAATAGATTAAAACGTGTACATAAATAAGGAAGCAGGTAATTAGGTAAATTTATGCATTGTTTATTTCTTCGATATAGTTTTTTTAGTTAGTACACCGTTTTGGTAGTCATTTAAAAAATTGCATTTAAGTACTAAGTTTATTATAAATTGAGCGGAACGCCGTACAAACTGTTTGAACAGTTTAAGATAAAAAAAAAAGAAACTTAAATGTGAATAAAAGTTTATTAAAAAAAATATCTTGTTATATTATAAATTTCCATCCATGGTAGTTCACCTTCGTAAATATTAATCATTGAAACAACATATTAACATTATCACATAAAGTTTAGTTTATTATATACTTCTGGTTTACCGCTAAGTTAATATTATTCGTTATACTTGAGTCAAGCTAGGCGTTATGTGGTATCAGGTACCATCAAGGACCTAGACACCAATAAGGAAATTCAGGCTAAGGATACACCTAAACATGTTATTTATGTACTGTTTGGTTATAAAGATCCTTTTTAGGTTCCTTAGTCCTAAAAAAGAAGCATTATTGTTTTCTGCGGCTTAGCTTAGAGACTTTTAGGACTAGAAAGTTGTAATTTTAAGAAAATCATTTGCCGATATAGCCAATTTTACACTAGAGATCATAAACTATTTCAAAAATTTGTAATAATAGTAAAGGTTTTTTAGAAAAACTAGAAATAAGTTAATACTGTATCATTAACTTTTTCGTCATAAATAGCCAAGACGTTTCGAAGGATCTTTTTCTGATTAATAACATACTGGTGTGTTTTATATTGTTGCCAATTTCCGAGATACAACATTTCGAATTTCTACTGTCGATTTATTAATTATTACGACTACGTTAACTCTGGTAGTATTAGGTAGCAATTTATGAGTAATATTCAATCAACTTATAATTAAAACTACTTAAAAAAATCGAATAAAATACATAATCCGATAAAGTAGGTAACCTTAAAAACTAGGTACGGAACCCTACACTGCGTGTGATTGGTTCTCATACGCATCTTAGTTTTTGTATTGAAAGGATATTTATTTCTTTACGTCAACGGGTCAAATACAATAAATACAGATTCAGTCATGGACAATAGATAATGGAAAACAATAAACAAATAAATATCAACTGCATGAAGTAATGTTCCTCATTCCTTTAATTCATAGGTTTCCGTACAACTCAAATAAGACTTCTTGTTTACAAAAAAAATAGTGGTTTACCATTGTTCTCTAAAAGAAAATGGCGCCGCATCTTGCCATTATTTTGCTTGACCCGAAATGTTACTATTTCCGTCAATTCGTAATCACATTTTGCTAGGCGATGGATACATAAACAACTTTTTATAAATGTACAGGCTGCGATAGCTTCGTGTCTTCTGTGGATATTGGAGTATTTTCTAAATATTTTTCCTATTTGGAGCCCAAAAGACCGGCCGTATCCTTAACCTGGAGGAACACAAATCTATATGTCATGGCGAATGCTTGTTACAGGTGGAACTGTTTCGAGTGGGCAGGGCGGCAGCACGGGACCCTTTCCTTCCGGCTGACGCAGGTGCTTTCCGGGCACGGTTGCTTCGGAAGGTACCTGTACTCGGTCGCTAGGAGGGAATCGAGTCCCGCCTGCCACCACTGCGACTGCAGTGAGGATTCGGCCCAGCACACGCTGGCGGTTTGCCCCGCATGGGCGACGCAGCGCCGGGCCCTCACTGCAGTCATCGGAGCAGATCTCTCGCTACCGGCCGTAATTCGCTTCATGGCCGGTAGCGATAGTTGTTTTACCGCGGTCGCAACCTTCTGCTAGGAGGTAATCTCGCAGAAGGAGGCGGTGGAGAAGGCCCGGGAGGACGACCTCCACTCGGATCTGATCCGCCGCCGGCGAACCGGGCGGCGGAGGCGCGCTCACCTGCGCCTCATGCCGCCCTGAGTGTGGCCGCGGGTGGACGGGATGGGTTCTCCCCTCCACCCGCATTAGTTTGGCCAGCCGCGAGGGGGCGGCGTCCGCGTGTGCCGGACGTCGCCTAAATAAAGAGAGGAAAACTTTGAGACGGATCCCGCGCCAGGAGCGGGCCGGCGCTGGGAAGGGTCCAGAAGGCGATAACTACCTGGACCCCTCCTAAACTGGAAGCGCAAAGAGGGCACACCGTGTGGTTTTAGTCGGTTCGAGTCCGACACACCGCCCCCACGAACGAGAGCCCCGGCGGGGTGACGGACCGAGGGGATTTCCACACGTTAAAAAAAAAAAAAGGTGGAACTGTTTAATTGAATAGAGTTGTCCACTGCATTTTACCACATTATTTGTTAGCAACGTGAATGCCACGGAGAATTAACACAGAAAAGAGGGGACCTTTGCTGTTTCTGTTATATTTTATAACCTTCTCTTGCTGCATTGCGTCCTACTTTTGCAATTTTTAAAAGTGTGACATAACCAGTTTACGTTCACCAGTACTTAACATTAACAGCCAACTTTAATATTTCTGAGAATTCCAAAGAGATACCTAAGATATTAGATTAGGAATACGGAGTGTCACCACCCCTATTTGTCCCGTGGCCGTGTGGGTAAGAGTCGACTGAGGGAGCACACTACGCAGGATAACAACACTGCAAATAGAAGGAAAACTTGAAACAAACCCTATAATAACCCGTCTGGCCAGGTCTGGTATATTAGGCCAAAACCTCCTTTCTAAGAAACGGCCTATATCCGGCAGTGGACTACTAAAGGCTGTTCATGATGACTATAAAGAGATAAGAAAACCCACAGGTTAAGAGTACGATTTTAATCGCTCAGTGTCCAGCACATTGTCTACAGAAAGATTTTTGATTACCCCACCTTCGCCATGTGACACGATTTGATCATCAATCTGCGATTTTATTTCATTACTTTTTAGAGTGATTGTCCACATTGTAACGTTTTTTTTTTTATGGAATAAGGGCAAACGAGAAGACGGGTCACCTGATGGAAGGCGACTACCGCCGCCTAGGAACGCATGCAACTCAGGAGTCAGAAGCGCTTTGCCAGCCTTTGAGGAAGGAGTACGCTCTTTTCTTGAGGGTTTAAAGGTCGTATCGGTCCGGCAATACCGCAGCCGATAACTTGACCCACAGATTGGTAGTGCGAGGCAAAAACTTAATAACGGCAATTATTCAGGTGGTAGGGGATGAAAATTTTGCCGTGTGGGACGATGGCGGTAATTTGCGGCCGGTACCCTCCAACTTTCTGCCATCGTTAAACACGAAATTTTCATCCCAATCACTTGGATAATTGGCACTACACCACTGTGCGCTCTTCAAGACACTTTTTGCCTCCCACAATCAATGTGTTGAACATTATAGTCGATGAATTTCCGGACTGATACTTCCGCCAGGAACGAGCTTGTGATTCCTAAGATGCACTTTTACTACTTCTACTACTCTATCATTAAATAAAATATTGTCTATTTCAGTATCTTAAATTTTTCGAGGCTAAAGTAACCAGTGTGTTCCCCAATAACAAGTTTATCAAAGTAAGTTTTAAATGTGAAAGCTTATCAGACTGTCAATTTCTTAAATCAGTGTACAATAAATGGTTTTTTTTTTTACTTGCAACAATTTTATGTCAATGTCAAGCTGAGTAAACGATTTTTGTCGTTCCAGGTTCTTTTAGCTTACTTTATATAGCATTGTTTTTCATTCTATCCATTTTTGGTTACTACTTTTGAACTCTTTTTTCATGAATGTTGTACTTAATGTAAAAAATATGAGTAAATTTAAAACTGAAATGTTGTTGTAATCGAGCGACGCGAAACGCGAAGTTGATTCTTCTGCTGCGGTTGGTGCTGAGGATGTGAACATTTCTTGATATGATTTAATAAATATTACTGATTGAATTCTTCTAAAATGTCGGCAGCCGAACAACCGGATTTATTGTTTTTTGATACATTCTCCCACGATACTAGTGAGGTAAAACTACACCAGGTGTGCCATATACATATTTAATAAACAGTTTTTGTAAGGACGTAAAATCTCGTTTTCAGGAGCTGAATTTAGATTTGGTGCAATTCCCGAAATCGGTATATGTCCGGGAAATTCGCATTATACCCTTGGGGGCGCGTGTAGAAGGTGATTTTCCCGGTGGAGTACGACTGGGTGCTACAAATCCGACGAAGTTCCACATAGATTTCTTTGTGAACGATTTAAGTAAACCCGGCGCATCCACTTTTGAGGCCCTTGGCAGCTTAGACTACTGTCAAAATGGACAGATTCATATGGAGTGTGGAAACGGCTTGGATCAACCACGGATACCAACTGATGGACTAGTGCTCAGAGGTTAGTAGTACCTAAAGTAAAATTAAATAAAGTTTTTGCCAACCATGCAGTAGTAGTAACATCACACTAAAGAATACACTTCCTGCCGATCATGCAAATTGTGCTACTTCTACTTGTACTTTGACTGCCTCTGGTGCAGTGGTGCTATGCAGCATGTGACTGCTGTGCTGAGGTCTTGGGTTCGATGTTTGTATGATCTGCAATTATTTGCTTTGGAGTGTTTTCTATGTATAATAGGTATGTATTTCCAAAAAAGAAAAGTAAATAAATATTCTATCAGTTAATCTAGCTTTCATAGTACAAGCTCTGCTTAGTTAAGGCCTAGATAGTATTGTGTGTCTGAATATTTATTTATTTTATTACTTAATGCACAAGTATAAGTTGTACAATGGTGGACTTAATGCAACGGCATTTTCTCCCAGCCTACCTTAGGGTGGTGCTGAAATGTGTGATTAGGTGCATTAGAGATTGATATGTAGAGTAAGAGAAAATTATTGAGAAGTCAGACAGAAACACTGATATAAATATACATACATACAAACAAAATACATACACATACATAAATACTTACCTAATTACATATACTGTTACTAATACATAAAACTTTAAGGTTGTAATGAATCTGCTAGGGTGTCCAGAATGCGAGCTTGAACTTTCATCTTGAATGAGAGGTGGCTGGGTGCTATCTTAATTTCTATAGGGAGAGTGTTCCAGAGGAGTAGGGATCGGATTAGGAAGTATGAGTGGGGCATAGCAGAAGAGGATTGTTTGATGAACAGAGGGTTCTATCATAAATATTATTATTGTTCTCTTTATTACATTCTAAAATACATATTGATTTTTAAGACACCGTTGGTTATTATTATTATCCTTATCAAGGCCGAAGCTATTCATATTTATCTGTATATGTATTTTTTTAGGGTTTATTGTAATTGACTGATATGACCTTCAAACCTGTAAGAAAACCTCCTCCTTCCTCAAGGACCGTGACAATTGAGTTGCAGGTGTTACCAACCCGTCTGCTTATTTGCTCCTCTTCCTAAAAATAAAAAAAGCCAAGTATATGTGTTCTCATATCTCTAAATATACTTTGCTTTTCATCTGTGGTGAGATAAGTATGTGGATAGACTAGTGAAACAAACACTCAGTGATTTCACACTGACATTTATGGTCATGGAACCTATAGGTGTGTTGGCTCATGCACACATTCTTATCAATATATTAATATGAAACATATAGTACCATAGGATTGAGTTGTTACTTCAATTTTGATTATATTGAATTTAATTTTTATGTAACAGATGACCAAGCTTCAAACAAGTGCTGTTGAACTAAAGGAGTTTAGACTTGTTTAAAATTCTTGACTCTGGGACTGTGATATATTATACAATAATAACACTTGGGGGACTTTACAAACATAAAAGGTTTAAAATATACACTGGTTTGTCTTCCTTCGGCCTTGTTCCTTCTCTGGACTTGTCGCTTTTAAGTCGTCATTGGGTCGATGTCTCATTATTAACGAGATATTTATTCTTAATTATGATTGTGAAATAGCGTATAATTTTTGTAATTTCACCCAGACTCAAAACTACAAGTAGTGGATCACACAAAGTGTCGTCCCATGGGGGGATCGTACCCACAACACTCGGCGTAGTAGTAAGCAGCGTGGCGACTGCTTAAACCACTACACCATCCGTGCAGTCAATTGATCTCATTGTTTCTGCAAAACATATTAATGTGTCTTTTCTTTTCCTTAAAAAGACAGCTCCTGCATTAGGAATGTATCCTGTGTCGCGGGGGACTTTACAAACAGACACAAAGAACACCCGGACTCAGAACAACAATTTGTGGATTACACAAAGTGTCTTCCCATCTGGATTTTTGCAAAAAAAAAGACTAAGCCTTAGTAGTTGCATAATATGATAATTTTGTAACACTAGTCTGTCTAGTACTATTTGCAGTACTAGATGTCAGATCATTAGTACTTCAAATGCTCAATGGGTCTTTCACAAACTTCCAACCCTTTTTGAACAACAATTCTCACAGATTACAGGCAAGTTAGATGAAATAATAATAACCTTAGACATCTCACACTCAGCCATTTGATCCAAAATTAGGCAGAGCTTGTACTAAATTTCTAAATACATCAATATTATAGATAACTTACACCCAGACTCAGAGCAAATGATCATGCTCATCACACAATTATTTGTCCTGGATGGGAATCGAACCCACAACCTCTGGCTTAGCAGTCAATATCACTAGACCAACAGGACCACCTCCCGCCTAAAAGTTGATAAACATTAAGTACAAGTGTTGCTTACTTTGTGTCCAGCTAGCTTTGTAATACGTCCCACAATGTGTAGTCTCTAGTGATCATCATTTACACACAACCATTCATTTACACACCAGATTTATTTTATATATTTATTTACTTTATACAGGACAAAGTGTTACTGCTGCTATGGAGAAAATACAGACCTGTGTTGTTGTCTACCACCTTACTTAACTTGTCAAAATGATCTATTAGAACTCTTCTTTATTGTATACTCTAATGTATACAACGTGGCCCCAGAGTTATAACAACCCTTTGAATGGTGGATTACACAGTTCAATATAAGTAGGTTAAAATGAAAAAAAAATTTTTTTTTTTGTAAAATACAGAAATGCAAATTTAGAACAAAATAAATACAATAAAATATTGTCAAATTGGAGCACCATTGATCACGCGGGTCACTCACCTGTAGACGCCGCGACGGCAGCGATGCAAAAATGGCGCCAACAGCGAAACGAGCCTAGCGACGCGGCGACGCGACGGCGCGGGCGCCGCGTCGATTTGCCGAATATTACATTCTTATCACTAATCAGTTACTTCACTTGCTTTTTATTTAAAATCACTTTATCAATTTACTAAAATATGAATACCGCTCGCAACTGTTTTTATTCACTAAATCAATCTTTCCTTAAAATTTTATTTAATAAAATAGAATAGAATAAACTTTATTGTACACCAGTTTAGTACATCATACATACAATAGTATATCAAATTAATGTAAATCTAATTTAAATTTTAAGGTTTTCAATGGGTTTAGTTCACATCAATGCATCGAATACACATGTTTTTAAGTATTTTAGCACACAAGTTGTCATTCTAAAAGCTAAAGCTCTTATTTTATCAAATGCACTAATTATCCTCCATCTTAGGCCTTCTATTAAAGTGGCGTCTGTTGCATACACTTCATTTTTAACACATCCCTACAAAAAAAGTCTAAAAGGCGTGAGATCTGGTGATCTAGGTAGCCATCGTGTAGGCCCATAGCGTCCTATCCACTGTTCACCAAAAATGTGATTAAAACGCTTCCTGACAACCACAACAAAAGTTCGACTGTCTGTAGGACAAACACCTTAAGCTAAAAAAGCGTTTTGAAGGCGTTTCCCGTAAATTAGGACCATGTCAGTATACTCCGCGGCTGTAAAGGTCACTCGCGGCATTATGAATGTTAATATCGATAAATCAATATAATTAAAACACTAGTAAGAAACCTAATTTCACACATACACACACACACAACAAAACTAATATTGATACTTTCAAAATAAAATCAGAAGGACTCATTGCAAAACAACACAAAATCTTGCACCGGCACCAACTGACCAACTGACCCTCTACTTTCTAGAACCCGGAAGTCATCGAATATTAAATAATTAAATCAATGCTGCCAATTGTCAAAGCTCGAAAAACATTATTATAATGAGTTTACCTGTAGTAACCGTTACGTACTGTAAATAAAACATTTAATATAAACAATATTTACGCAGCCTAATAATATTAAAATACTTATTTATTAGCATATTTTGTTTATAATCAATATGTAAAAAAAAGCGCGCAATTACGATGCATACTGCTAATAGGTTGGTAGCGATGATCCCGATGACACAGTAACCAATTACATGCTTCTAATTTATTTTCGCCGACACTGACCAACAAGTGTATGAACCTTGTTGTCAGACACAGTATTATCTTCCGTATGCCGTTGCAATATGTTTGATTTTACTATAAAGAAATTCTTATTTTTTAATTTTTATTAATTATTATTTCGTAACTTGTGCGGTAACGTTTGTATAGCGACAGCGGGAAGGTCATTGACACTTAGTACTTTAGCTTTGCGTAAACATATGGTGTTGTAAAATACGAAACACAAAAATGAGTCCTGTGGCTAAACTACTGGATATATTTTGTTCATATTTTGCAAATCGCCTAGAAATTAAGGGCAGAATATGTGGCTTAAGTATTTGGGAAAGGAAATGAAACTCTCTGTATATCACTGTACTATGTAATGTAATTCCAACTAAGTCGGAATTATTTTAAAATTTTATTGCCTTTAAATTTGCCTTCAGTTAGTAAATGCCTAAAAAATGAATACTTAAAGCAATAATGCATGTCATATTGCCAAAAACTCTAATTGTGTTAAGACATGTCTCCTCAAATAGGAATATCAAAAAATAATTACACACTACAGAATAGACTTGCAACGAATAGTATATTCGGCAGTATACCGAATACCGAATATTCGGCGAGGCCCCTGACCGAATAGCCGAATATTAGGCAAAAGTATTCGGCTGGATTTTAGCGCCAAAAACTTGTACAGACGTGAATTAAATTATGTACCTGTTTTATGTACCAATGACTACTTAATAAATTATTATAAAAGAAATAAGAACCTTACCCTTCTAAATTTTGATTACCACAATAATTCAAATACATAAAATCCTCCATTTTTCCAATTCAGAAGATGATTATGTACCTGTGTTATGCACCAATGACTACTTAAATGATTATCACAGAAATGAAAATATGAATATATACGTAATCAATCGATTTTAATTTTTCATTTTACCAATTATTTCTCAATGACAAAATATATTATTTAAGTATTCGGTATTCGGCCGAATAATATGTAGATATTCGGTATTCGGCCGAATATAATAAAAGCAGCCGAATAGGCCGAATACCGAATAGTAACCGAATATTCGTTGCAAGTCTACTACAGAAATAAGATCTGTTGTCATATATAAAATTCATAAAATGAAATGCTATTCTTGATATTCATACATTGGTATTTATCAGTTGAGCAGTTTTATTTTAATAAACATAATGTCTTCTTCTCCAGGTTGGTACACAACAATCACCTTAGCAGTCTACGGTAACCTGACTCAAGTGCTGCCTGAAACCCCAGTAGGTGCTAACCCACCTCCAACTGTACAAAGACCTGCAGTTCCCCGTGAGGTCGTGCCACCGCCTGCAGTAGTGGCTCAGACCCCAGAATGGCCCCAGGAAACATCAAACCCCATACCAGCTTACACTGGCAATGTAGTCACTGCTAACCCTGATGCTTATGGCCCCAGCAACTATACTGAAAATTATGACAGCCAAATGTACAGGGCTGACTACTATGAGTCTGAACCAGCACCTGGTCCAGGACCAAAAGATCCTAGAACCTACCAGCACATGGATGAAGGTAATTGGGATAAGAGAGATCTCAGCTGTGAAAGAGAAGGAGATAGGTTGCGTCACAGTCCCCGTTCTCTTGATCATGACAGGGATAGAGATAGACGCGATGGTAGAAGTCGGAGACGCTCAATTGATCGAGGCAGAAGCCGCGAGTCATCGAGGCATCGCGACAGAAGTAGGGAGTTGGATCGATTGGATCGACTTCGCTCGAGATCAAGGAGCCGCGATAGAGATTACATAGTTAAAGGAGAATATCGTCCTTTGAGCAGATCTAGATCTCGAAGTGGTGACCGCATGCGTGGATTGTCTAATGACCGCGATTGGGACAGGGGATCCTACAAAAAGGATGATTACAGGCGTCATCGCGAACTATCTTACGATCGATCTCGCGGAGGTTCTTATGATAAAGAGGCAGGCTCATATGAACGCCGGTCTCCTTATGACAAAAGAGGTCCATCTTACGAAAGAAAATTGTCTTATGAAAAACGTTTATCGCCATATGAAAAGCGCGGTTCATCATATGAAAGACGTGCTCCGTCTTATGAGAAACAGTCTGCTTATGATAGAAAACGTCACTCTCCTTACAGTCGTATTAGAGGCTCTAGCTATAGCAGGTCTCCCAGCCGTGATGATCCCAGAAAAAGACCAAGAACACCTCCAGGAGAAGGTAACCGAAGGCCTTTATCGCCAAGAGATGTAGACGCATCTAGTCCTATTAACTCTATTAGATCGGAAGAAGGTGCAGAATATGACAGAAGTGGCAAGCAGATCCCAAGAGTCGATTTTTACCATCAAAGTTACAGACACAAGCCACCTATTCGTAGTCCCTCTCAAGAAGCGGAGGTTCCGCCCTATGTTGAACAACAACATTCTAGTTTGGTTACTGTTCAAATAGTAGACAATCCTACCACTAAAGTTGTCGAATCACCAAACAGGAATCAAGATGAAGACAGATCAATGGATGCTGAGCAATTCGAGCCCATTCTGTCAGATGAAGATATCTGTGATGATCTCGAAGGTTCTACCTACGCTGAAGGTGATTATGATGTAAACGATTACTGTGGAGTCGATGATATCATTAAATATTATAATCCTTTTAAATCTGAGTGGAATAAATATGAATATCTGAACAAAATTCACCTACTAGGCCCTAAAAAAGAAGGAATAAAAGATGTGTTGAATGCCACTTTTGATGATCTGTGCGATGCCAGTCCTGAACTGTTTAAGATTTCTGAAATAGCTAAGTCTAACAAAAAATTAGATCAAAAATTCTTTGCGAACACCTTTGCTGATATTGACAACCCTGCCAGGGAAGAATGGGTTCATCAGTGCGAACAACTATATGTTGCCATGACCAACCTTTGCAAAACAACTGATATCGTGCTAAGAATTTTTACAAAACCTAATCGCAATGACGTCTGTGATGAATTTACAGAGATTTACTATCTTCTTATAACGTTCTGCAAAATTGGACTAAACTACGATTTCGCATTAGTTCAGCAACAGCCTACGTACAAGATAAGGCACATGAAATGTGGGATACGTCTCGCTGAAGCGCTTATGTCACACCGACACAACGGAGAAGTCACTAAAGTACTCCTTGCGTCTGGAATAGATATGTCAATGTCCTTACTAGAGATGTATTCTAAAGAATATATGGCGCTGAGCATACGTCTCATGATATTAAAGGCATTGAACGCTTGTCTTTCTTCAAAGGAGTCAATGGAGCACTTCATGAGGGAAACAATATTTCCAAAATTCGATAAAAATGATGACCGCAAACCCAGGAACGGGTATCAAGCGTTAATATCAATGATGCAGACGAACCCATTAGCGAGGGTAAAGTTTTCGATCAGTGCTCTTATAAAAAAATTAAACATTTACGAATTGTTGCAAAAGTTATACGATTTAGTTATTAGTTTTAGTAAGTCTGTCGGCGGTGACGATGCCGATCTTTCGGAAGCAGATGCGCATTTTATCGTGAATGCTTTAGAAGAAATTTTATATACGTATCGGGCACAGTGCTTTCACTTATCTCAACCAAAGCGGTTTCTTCCGGTCTCTGCTCAATTCGAGATTAATAAGGAGTGTTCTAATGAAATTTTACTGGAATTCTTCAGCATTCACAAGCTTTTAGAAGTCTGTCTTTATCTGCTCACATGTCCCACGACCTGCAATAATTTAATCGTAGTAAGCCCGATACACGATTTAATTTACGAGTTGGTTAACTCTCATAATGGACTAAGTTTTTTATACAAAAATATGGAATTGAGTGAATTACTGTTCAAAACGTTAACACAGCCATACAGCCAACAGAACTCCGAAGATGGATTATACCCTCATGATTTGAGTAACTACAGTGACCTTCAGATTGTGGCGCTGGAAATGGCATATAAATTAAAAGCGTTATATTATTTGGAATCGATTTGTGATTTACAGGCAGGTAAAAGTGATGAAAACGAACTCATAGACAGACTACAATCTCTTTACTGTCTTAGTTTTGGTAGTATTGGCAGAACAGCCGTGCCAGATGTAGTCGTAATGGAGGATAATGCAGAATGTCTCATGGAGGTCTTCGAGAGCGATTTGAAAACAAGGAATAAGAATGAGTCACCATTGAAGCAAAAATCTCCAGCGAAAGGTTACGCTATTGAGCTAATCGTGTCAGCGGTGCGATTCGCTGCAAATGTACCATTCTTGAAAAAGTACGGACAACGATTGATTAACGTATCGAGGGAACATGACAGATTTGAACCGAGCGTTTCAAGTGTTTTGCAAGAAGTTATACCATATTTGAAACCTGTTGAAAAAAATACTGTGTTGACAGGCGAAGACATGGCTGAGTGTGTAGAAATATTAAAGGCCAGTGCTGAACACGCCCCTGACCTGCCTGGGGAGCTAATGACATGTTTAAGGATTCTTAGACATTTCTGTATATCAGATTATGAGAATAATGTCACAATTGCTTGTGAATCTGCAACTGAAGAGTATGTTGAGCTCAAATACAAGTATAATGTTTTACAGCTATTTTCTTTAGATGGTGTCGCGCATTTGGCTGGAGTTCTGGATCGTTTAGCGACACATTTTGATCAGCCGAGCATGCACACTTCTTTCTTCGCTTCAGTAAAGGGACTACACTTGGCCCAAGTATTATTACCTTGTTTGCGATTGCTTGATGCTATGTTGTCAAGAGTTGTTCGCTGTCGTGGACCAAGATTCCGTGATCTGACTGCAGCTCCAGTTTTGCTAAAGACTTATGGGATTGCCAAGGCTTTCCCAGTTGGTTCAGTGGGATACAGAACAGCTGCGAAAGCAGCCGAAGCGTCAGTAAGAGCTTTACTTGCGTACGCCCAGCCAATAGCAGATGACGCAAACGATGGTGATTCCATCCGACGAGGACCTTGGACTTCTCTGTGCTCTGAAGTAATATCATACATAACCACCGCACCATACACATTTGTTCCTGGCTTATTAGTCTTTTCAGAGCTACTTCCTTTACCTTTGCCAATGCAGACAAAAACACCTCCGACGGAGCGAGAATTAGCTGACGCGGCAAATGAGAGACGTCTTTGGTCAGCACATTTGCACGCCTTATCAAATGATTTGACAGACATGATACAGATAATCTGCATGTCTACTTATAGGCCTGTTGTGCATATGCTAAGAAGAGTTTGTGTTCAAATTGCGGATTTGGCACCGAATACGGCAGCCACTGTAGCTCGGGCAGCCGTAGGAGCCGTTACAAGGGAATTAAAGCCAGGTGAACCCGCCACAGCTAGTATTGCCAGGGTACTTGGCTTTCTAGCGTGCTTAGTATCTCACGCACCAGTTAAGTGTGCTGTTCTCCATGCTATGAACAGTGGAGGACCCAGAGCAACCGATGTCCAAACTGCATTATGTTCTGTGCTAGGTTTGGCAAATGCATCTAACGAACATGGTGCCGCTCAGGAGTACGCCGCACATGCTTTAGCAGCTTTCTGTGACGCTGAAATTACCCTGACACCTTTAAATGGAGCTTCTGAGGTCATACTGGTTAATTCTCTGCCAAATAAAGATGCTTTGGCTGCATTTTTGGACGCGACAGCCGACTGTCTCGAATCTACAACAAAGACTTGCTCAGTGGCGTCTTCAATACTTCGAGCGTATTTCGTCTTAACGGAACATGAATACGGATTCCAGCAGTTTCGAAAATTTATTTTCAAAAGACGAGAATCTCTGGGGAAATTCTTTAAATGGGCTTTAGAAGGCCAAGGGGAAGATAAAGCGGAATGTTTAAGTTTATATATTGACCTGATCAGAATCTTAAAAATGGAAGAAGGCGAGGGTCCTTTCGGCAGGAAGGCTATGCTAACCGTGCACGAGATGGCAGATATGGTGGGATACCAGCCCACTGACGAGGATCATCCTGTTCTAAAACTTGAAAAAATATTGAGGGTAAGTCTATTCACAATAGTCGATTAAAACTATATCAATTAATTAGCTTTGAAACAGGAAAATTTAAAATTTCTCAGCAAAGTGTTGTAAAATTCAATTGCACATTTTAGGAGAAGAATTCAGACGAAGATGCAATCGCTAACGCTCACTTCTTGACCGATCACATTCTAAAGTCAAAGACTACAGAGGAACCTGCAACGCCACCCGAAATTCAGGAACCGGTGTTGCCGGCGCCGGAAAGCCTGGTGGCGCAGTTCCAGGCCAGAACTATATACGCCATAGGAGAGGCCAGCGACGAGAGACTCACTTCCAGCTATTGGCTGAACGTGCCCGCTCCGCAGGCCGCCAGCGGAGAAGACGACGGCAACGATAGCGAACTGGTGAGAACTCTCCGACGCCGTTTATGGCAATTTCAATTATTAAAAGTCGGAAATCGGTGAAGGCGTTCGTAACGTTATTTATATTCGGTAGGTATCGTGCGATATAATGGAGATAGCGAACGCGTACGTGTGCGGTGGCGGCGAGGGGGTGAGCGGGGCGGTGCGGCGCCTGGCGGGCTGCCTGCACGCGCCGCCCGACCCCGCGCCCTGCGACGACAAGCGGCCCCCCGGTAACTATCGCCTGGCCTCTCAGCTCTATCCATATATATAATTAAATATTCAACCCTAGAATAATACTAGAATATGTTTTAATCCCATTCAGGCCTGAACTCGGCCCGTGTCTTTAAAATTTATTTTCTTCTAAAGGATCTACCGATTGGAACTGTTAACGATTGGCTTTTTCTAAGTAGCTTTTATTCCAGATAATTTCAAAATACAAAACAAAAGGATTAATAAAAAATAAATTGTTACACGTCTAGTTTCATAAATATTTTTTAAATCTGAATATTATATTTTTAAATGTGATCTCATTATTTCTGTAAAAGGTAAATAATGAGATAGAGAGTACAATTACGGGTTATGTGCAGTGGCATTGTCGCGGCCGCGAGCGGAGGGGTGTGCGGATGCGTTCCGCTCCCGCCCCCCCAACACTTCGCGCCCCCCCTCACTGCACGTGGACGACTTCACCGCGCTGCACCAGCCCTACACCGCTGCACAGATCAATAGGTACGAACATTCAACCAATTGAAGCCAATTGCAATCTTATTATACTCGGTAGAAAAGAAGGTAAAAGCTCCGTTCGTAATTAAAATCAGGTTTAATTAACAGAGGTATGTTTAGTGACATATTTATGAGTCTGTCAGATGTCTTTCAGAGCCTTTCAATGCTGAGATACGAGGAATTTAAAAAAATCAGTTCGTCCCACTGAGACAGACAAAGCAAGTGGTTTCATACAATTAAAGAGAGGCTTAGCAAGTGCACTCATATTAACGAGTGAAGTTTTGTGTATATAATAAATTTTAATGTCCTTGTCAATTTTCCCAATTCGTATACTTATTGACAATAAACCTAAAGCGGTCATACTTAAGACTCGTACAACATTATTCTTTATTTCATATTGTTTGTTTGATCAACGAATATAATGCTTATGTTCTGTGTTCCAGAGGTTCTCGTCGCGGTATTGCCGTGTCTGATCGCGGGCGCTTCGCCTCAGCTGCGCCGCTGCACCACTACCGCCACCTGTGAGTTTCGCTCGCCCACCTACAACATACCTAAAACATATCTATACTAATATTATAAAGCTGAAGAGTTTGTTTGTTTGTTTGTTTGAACGCGCTAATCTCAGGAACTACTGGTCCGATTTGAAAGATTATTTCAGTGTTAGATAGCCCATTTATCGAGGAAGGCTATAGGCTATATATCATCACGTTAAGACCAATAGCAGCAAAGCACCAATGAAGAATGTTTAAAAAACGGAGAAAATTTATTACTTGAGAGACGCAGACGAAGATGCGCGGGTCAGCTAGTATGTTATATACACGGTGATTTTTTAGGCGTTTTGGAAACGAAACATTTTAATTTGGAATCATCTATAGTACCAATAAAAATGATTAAATCAATTGTAATGTTGTCTAAAAAAAAGTTTCAGTTTTAATATTCATTTTTACTCGATCGACTTGGAAAGTAGTAATGGACTGATCATTCATTCATTATCTTATATGAATGAAACACGTCCGTGGGCGTTTCGGCGGCCGCTGCGCACCGCCGACGCTAACAGCAGCTGATAAAAGTATACCTATAGGCGCGAGCTAACGAGTACTTACGTAGATAGACTCCAATTTGTCCTTCATACTTTACACGGGCTTAGGATCGTCGGAAATACCTCTTTTATTTAAACTTCTTTTCGATTATTAACCACGATTGTTCTTTTCACAACAAATCAATTTATCAACGGACTGTAAGTATAAATATTTCAAGCGTATTAAAAAAATCGGAGCTTTCTACAGAATAATTAACTTACATACCTATTTACACTATTTACACTTCTCTGTATCGAAGCAACTGCTCAAAATGGAGTCCGCTGCATTCAATACACAAACGTCCACGTTTAATGCAATTGTTTTTTAATTTTCTTAATGTGTCTCTATCACTTTTCACTTAATCAAAAGCGTCCACTATCGCAATGCGTAAATTATCACGGTTTTCATATTCCCGTGTATAAACAAGTATTTTTATTTCCGACCATAAGAAAACTCCCTAAAGAACACTGGCCCTCCTCGACCTATCCACCGATCACTTAACTCATTGTCCAGGTATGCACGCACTACACTCCGGCGAATAATAATTTAAATGTCCTTGACCTTGCGCGTGAGCGCGCGACCTTTATGTGACTCGATATTAAAACGCATAGTATTTCTATTCGTAGTATTTACCTACTTGCGATTGAAAAGCCCTACTACTGGTTTCTTCTTTTCTCTGTAATCGATATGAATATCGACTTTGATGATAAAAAATATATATATATTTTAATAAATTAACGTTATATATAGCTTCTGTTACTGATAAATAACTCAAAATTTTCTTTTCCAAAACGCTTTCAAAATCACCGTGTATATCTACAAATAACTAACAAAACACTTACAATACACCAACTACACACCTAAAATACATCGACAACATACTAACAACACACTTACAATACACCAACAACACACCTACAAAATACCTACAATACACCAAACAAGACACCTACAGCATACCTATAACACTTTCAACACACTAACAACACACCAACAACATACCCACAACATACCCACAACATACCAACAAAACACCTATAATGCACCCACAACATACTAACAACACACCAACAACACACCTACACCACACCGACAACACATCTACAACACGTCCGAACTGAACTAACTCATGTTCTGATTACAGTCGCGGACGCGGCGCGTGGGAGATGGGCGCTTCACACTTCGGACACTTCCCGCCGGCCTCGCAGTATATGATGGGTTAGTGAACAGTTTCATTTGTCAGACAATAACATTGTACAGAACAATGGCACCTAATTATAATATTTACCACCTAATTTACTTTTGTGTGATTACAAGAATACTGAATGCTTAATTAAAACATCACAAGCATTTAGAAATATATGTAAACAGCTCACGAGTAAAAAATATAAATATATACTGTTTAACGTTTTAATTTTAGTATCAAATAACTTTTATTATGATCTTACTAGATCGACACATGACATGACACCTGTAGGGGAATCGAGTGGTTTTTATTAAAGTAAAACATCTAACGCATGCGTCGCCACGCTATGTGATACACGTGTGTATGTGTAACACGTAATCCGGTGTAACAACGCATCATCATTTATAAATTCCCTTCATATCTTTTTATACTCATTATTTCTACAAAACAATTTCGATGTTTATATTCTTAATTTTATCCATTCGTTCTTTTTTCAAATAAATAACTTGAAAATGTAGCTGTGGCAATTGTATTTGTAAACTTTTAGTACTTTCAATACATTATTTATCTATAATATCTTAAGGCATAATATAGTTGTATCTGGTCCTACTACGCTTCGGTAACCGTCGCTTTGTCCCGCAGGTGGGATGGGTTGGGGGGGAGCGCGCATGCAGCGCGGCCCCAGGCACCGCTCCTTCATGCGCTGAGGGCCTCCCTGGTACCGCCACTACCTGGACTCCTTCAAGTTATCTTCGCCCAATAATGTATATCTCACTTAGATGTCGATCAATTATAAGCTCTATCAACCTGAAATGTATTTTTTTACCTGTATGTTGTCCCTCCTATATAAGTAGTTTTTTATTCGTATTTAGGCACAAAAACCACGGCTTCCTAGGAAACCGCTGTCAAGGAATTCTTTCGTTTCTTGTCAGTGAGTGTTGAAGTATCGATGGCTAAAGCCAAAAGGATCCTTTTGCATTTAAAGACGGATATCTCCGGAATAAATCATCGTAGAGAAAAATTAAGTGTGCGTTACCCCAGCAAAATAATGTCGAAAATGGTCATTTAAACTTTATAGATAATTAGTTGCTCCCCTTCTGTAATTGTTAAGCACATTTTTAAATTTGTTTCACTTAAACTTTTTTAGTTATTTCAAAAAAACATTTCCTGCTGGGGTAACGTTTGAAACGTTACCGCAGCCAGACATTTTCTTTTTTAATTGTAATATTGAAATAAATTTTAGCTAAATAATTAGTTATCTGGACTAGGTAAATGTTACAACTTATTTGGTATTTGTATTTTCTTCGGCTGCGAAGTTATTCGAAATCCTGCTGGAGTAACGTTTGTGGGTTTGCTGGATCTCTGAAACGGGTAAGCGGATTGTAACCATGTTTTGTACATAACTTCTTAAGGATTAGTTTTAATTTGTTCGACAATAAAATAACAAAAATAATGGACCGTTTAAAAATTATTTAGGTAAGTATGAAAACACTTCAATACGTCCTAACACTTTAAATAAGACCTCTAAAGACTTACTTGAAACGTTATTCTATTGCTTGTAACTACCTTCAAATGTATACGAATTTTCGTAAGAATACTGTAAGTGACTAAAAAGTTATGATGAAATGTAGCTCTCCACGTTCACGATCACAATGTGTGCGGCCTTTTTTGGCCACCGATAAACCTGTGTGTGGATATATAAACTGAATGTTATGCCAATAATTAGTTGTTTAGTTCAGTTGTCTACCTGTAAAATTTCAGCGTAGTGCATATAATAATTTACGAGATAATTAAATAAAAGTCATTAGAAGGTGAAAGACCGTGGTAACCCGACCATGTTTAGGTGGTTACAAAAAAGCGATCACCCAGTACATTGTGCTGGCTTTTAAAATATGTAGGATATTATTTGCAAGTTTACTACGGATATGTACATAAGCGTTACAAAAAACTACATGTTTTTTAAATATTTTTTATTACGATTGTTTATTGCATAATTAGTAATTACTAATAATACTGATTATAATCAGCCGGGAGATTAGGCATTGTTTTGAATGCTTTTGTTTTCTCGTAATGTTTAGGTGAATTGTTTATAGTTGTTCATAGAATTGGTACCCGCGTAGTATTTGTTAATTGAAGTTTAATTTTAGGGTAGGTATAGGTAATTTAAGAAATATGAAATGAAATGATAAGTTTTGAAGAGTGTAACGTATGCGTTGTAAATAGGTATTTTGTGAATAGATGGGGATTTTTTTAAGTGATGAATCGACTTAGGCTAGCATATCGCGAACAAACTCTGTATTGCATTATTTCTGTAATAATGTTGGAGAAAATAAAATATTTGATCACAAAATCGCGGTGAGTTAAATTATAATAAAATAAATTATTTATGTAAAATTAGTAATAAGTGATATACCTACCTAAAAGTTATGATCGTTTATAATTTGTTCACCCTGAACGAAATTTCAATATTAGCATTAGTAATTAATATCCTAAGACAAGAATTGACAATTACTTAAATTGAATCGAATTAGCATTAATGCCTATTATTAGTAATTAGGTACACACATATTGAAGAACTCTCAAGAATACGATAAATATTTGCAAAAATAGAAAGCGGAAGCGCACACGTACTTTACAACACGTATATTATCTGCCTAAGGGTCAAGTTTAGTGCACTAGATGCAAATTGCAAACAATGAAGTATCCCTTCGCCCCTCCCCTCCTGCGTTCTAGCGAAGGATGTATTATCAGCGATTCTTGATTGAAAAATATTATCTGACCAATAATTTTATCTATAAAAATGTATCACTTTCACTCGATAAATTAAATTACCGTTATTATATCAAAATATCATTCAATAACTCTTCGATTTTAACAGAAATCAACAGTCACAGGTAGGTACATAGGTATAAATAATTCTCGGTTCTCGGTATAGACCACAGAACAATATTACCTACTCTTACGAGGTATACGAGTGTTGGGCGATGCAATGTTGATGCATTCTAATTTACAACTGTATTCTTCTACTATTCGGTCTATTTTAACTAATTGTAGATGACTTGTTGATTTAAATATTTTGATGCATTCAAGTCTAAGCTCTATACACCCCAAAATAAAATACAATTACTTTAGTGTTATTTCTTTACAAAAAAAAATCAAAGAAATGAAACGATTTCTTATTGGTTTAAATTTTCGTTTTATTGTAGTCAGGTGAATCGTTCATACATGTATCTACATATTTATAATTTTAGCGGACCAGTGCAGATTTTCTGTTGATTGTAGCTCCGGTAGTAAAAAAGACTAAATAAATTTTAAGTAAAGAAACTAGTGCCTAAGATCAATTAGGGAAAAAAACAAAATAAATAAGTAATAGGTAATAATAATGAATAAATATTGAATGTATTTAACACTGTACGCAACTGTACCGAAATCGTAAGGTGTATTACACTAAACATTTTAAAAGACAGCGCAATGTACTGGGTGATCGCTTTTTTGTAACCACCCAAACATGGTCGGATTACCACGGACTTGCACCTTCTAATGACTTTTATTTAATTATCTCGTAAATTATTATATGTACTACGCTGAAATTTTACAGGTAGACAACTGAACTAAACAACTAATTATTGGCATAACATTCAGTTTATATATCCACACACAGGTTTATCGGTGGCCAAAAAAGGCCGCACACATTGTGATCGTGAACGTGGAGAGCTACATTTCATCATAACTTTTTAGTCACTTACAGTATTCTTATGAAAATTCGTATACATTTGAAGGTAGTTACAAGCAATAGAATAACGTTTCAAGTAAGTCTTTAGAGGTCTTATTTAAAGTGTTAGGACGTATTGAAGTGTTTTCATACTTACCTAAATAATTTTTAAACGGTCCATTATTTTTGTTATTTTATTGTCGAACAAATTAAAACTAATCCTTAAGAAGTTATGTACAAAACATGGTTACAATCCGCTTACCCGTTTCAGAGATCCAGCAAACCCACAAACGTTACTCCAGCAGGATTTCGAATAACTTCGCATCCGAAGAAAATACAAATACCAAATAAGTTGTAACATTTACCTAGTCCAGATAACTAATTATTTACCTAAAATTTATTTCAATATTACAATTAAAAAAGAAAATGTCTGGCTGCGGTAACGTTTCAAACGTTACCCCAGCAGGAAATGTTTTTTTGAAATAACTAAAAAAGTTTAAGTGAAACAAATTTAAAAATGTGCCTAACAATTACAGAAGGGGAGCAACTAATTATCTATAAAGTTTAAATGACCATTTTCGACATTATTTTGCTGGGGTAACGCACACAAAAATTAAAATGAATTAGGAATGGAAATGAAGGTGAATAGACATCTATCTGGCCTATACCAAAATTATAATGTAAAAAATCCAAGCTCGTGGACTATTCCTCTTGAATTACTCGATAACAGTCGCCCCTAAACATTTTTGGCCAACAGATCTGAAAACTAGAATTTTTGAGCTTCAGGATGCTTTTTTTGTGAGCTTCAAAAATCACAGAAAAATTCAATATTTTTTTGCTCCCTTAATTTTTGCAGAAGTGTATATTGAATACACTCAAGAGCAATGAAATCCGTTTCGGTTTGTAGATAACAATCATTAAAACGTGAACATTAACTACTTGGGGTAGTCAGCAGCACGCAGCACGGACCACTATCATCGATTAATTTTAACTGTAAGTTTATTATTTTTTAATTGTATAAGCCATCATAAAAGTGTGACGTCACAAGTCGTCACATGACAAGTTTCTAGAGTTAGAATATCCAGTATTGACGTTTAACAATAACAAACCAATTTGATTGGTCCTTCGATCATTTGATTGGTCAGTCAAATTAGTTTGTTAATGTCACACATATCGATAAGAGTGTCACAAATGAAACAAATGTAGAAAATTTAGAAACAAATCAACTTTATTATCAAGATGAAAAAGATCAAATGATATATTATAATATACAAGCTTAAGAAACAGATATGTGTGCCGCGAGCTGGTCGCGGCACCTGCACTAACATAACCCTTGCTCGGACACACCTCACTGCGAACGAAACAAACCTCCACTATACATATCATTCAATTTACATTATACATATCGAATTGAAACAAATTAACGTTCGCGTCGTGAACAAAACATGAACCTTGTAAAATGTACAATAATTAATACTCCACCGAGAATTTCCCCACAGCGTTCCGTTAACGACGACTGTCTTTGTTTATCGTAATTGTTGTTACAACTAAGGGTAGAACATGTCACTAGCATAAGTTCATATTTACAAGGCGCCGAGGCACAGTCTATTCATTGTATAAAAGTATCACTCGCGCATGGCACATGGCACGGGGCGTGCCGCATGGCACAGGGCGCAGCGTGGCACATGGCACAACGTGACACGTGGCACAGGGCACAGCGTGGCACAGGGCACAATGCGGCACGGGGCACAGCGCGGCACGTGGCACGGCGGCGGGGCCCGGCCGCGCCCCACTAGTCGCCGGGGTGCTCCGGGCACGATCTGTTCACTTCGAACCATTGGTCTATACATCTGGAACAAACAAACAAATACTACGTTAGTACATTATATATCACACTTATTTGCCACTTTACAAATATATCGTCATTATTCAATAACGTCGATTTTGAAAAAAAAACGAAATTCAGTTTTTATCATATTTGAATACTACATTGTCATAATATTATTACTATATTCAAGAATAAAATATATGTATTTTAAATTATTCAGTGTGTGTTTGATAGGCGTTCAAAGTGAAATGAAGCATGTGATTTTTTTATAAACTTGCATAATTATTAGTTGTTCTTTTTATTGAATTTTAAAATAAACCCATTTTTCACTTTTATGCCAGTTTCCACAATTACAGATAGAAAATTAAAAAAGTTATGTCAAAAAAAAACGTTATTGTTTGAAATGGCTGGCCTGTAAAGTTTAATAAATGTCAGAGCCGACACTATTTTACGATTATAACGATATGATAGTTAGTTTTTTTCTTTAAAGATAGTCACCGTTGTAGAAAACTAGCCCGTATCCCTAAAGGAGTAGGGAGAGCCATATTAAACACCAATATTCGAAGATTTGAGTCAAGCTGTGTACCGGTGAGTCTCTGTAGCGATGTAGCTCCTAATTGTTTACAAATTCACATAAATACCTATGACTATAGGTACCTAGCGTACCTTAGCTAGGCAAGGTTTTTTTTTTATTTTCCTGGTCAGGCTATAAACCCATATAATTATTAAATAATAAATAGGGACGACTAGGACAGCAATAACAATAAAAAACAAGAGAATGCAAATAAATAGCATGTCGTGTTATAGGAAATGCATTTGTTTGTTTTTATTAATTTAAACTATTGCTATCATTATTAACAACTGTTACTATCATTATAATAATATGCACACGGTCAGAGTGGCTTCCTCTTGACAGAAAGTAAGAACATTATCATTGGACTAATTTTTCAGCAAGAGTATTTTCAGTTATACGTACGAGTATGTTCACATTAGCTAACTTAAAAGCTAGATTGCATTATTTTTTTAAAAGACAACTCCCGTATTAGGAATATATCCTGTGTCTAAACATGAACCGGACACAAATAACACCCAGACTCAGAACAACAATTTGTGGATCACGTCATAAAGTGTCTTCCCATGTGGGGTTTAAACCCACAACACTCGGCGTAGTAGGAAGCGGCGTAGCGACCGCTTAAACCACAACGCCATCTGTGTAGTCAAAAGCAATGTTTCAAGTATTATCTAATGAAGTATTAAGAAAAAAACGACAAGAAATTGGCTCAATGTTACGTATTCTGTTCGCTTAAACTATTCTATTTTAAGTTGCGCCTTATTCCCTTCGTATCGATGCAGCATAAGTAGCAAGGTGTTGACAAGCAGTCAGGTCAAACGCTCTCCATGTGAGTACCAGCTCGACCTAGATCGACAGGGCTTATCGTTGCTTTTGTCTACCCCTTCAGAATCTACCCCCGCACTCTACGTATCGTTCCTTTTTGTTACCCGCAGTTTATAGTGGATGGGAAGGCTTAGGGGAGGCTACGTTAGTAGTGTATGGGTGAGTTGAAGGGTTGTATCCAAATGTTTTTGTGTATTATACAACGTTACACATTTTAATAAGATTGTGCTTTCGCATTATCGCTAGGGTATTAAATTTGGGTTGTATATCAACGGCCAAGCCCAAAACTTCTTACTGAAGAAATCAATCGTTTACAGAAACTGGAAAAAGTAACAGTGATTTAATATGCTTTTTTATCATACTTAATTATGTTTGTAATAGCGTTATAGAAATTCAGTTATAATGAAGTAATAAATACGATATTTAATACTGTTCCAACTAAAAATACACATGGAAGATTTAACTAAGACATGCGGTTTGAGTTTAGAGCAACTATGGCTTTAAATTCAAAATACTAAACAAAAATAATAAGCTAAATATTGAAAAACTAAAACAAAAAACTCGACTGCGTCAATATGTATACTTAAAATTTACAAAACGAGTTTTTTTTTGTTTGTTTCTGTGTGATTGAATGATTTTTATTAGTTAAAATAAGTAAATGTATTATTTTATATAATACTTGATGTACTTTGGTCAGTATATCTATTCAGATGTAGTATAGCATATAGTCCGTGTGGTGACGGATTAAGAATACGGAATGTCACCACACCTATTCGTCCCGTGGGTGTCGTAGGAATCGACTAAGGGAGCAAACTACGCAGGACAACAGCACTGCAGAGAGAAGGAAAACTTGAAACAAACCCTATATCAACCCGTGTGGCCAGCGTGGTATATTAGGCCAAAACCTCCTTTCTAAGGAGAGGCCTATGTTCAGCAGTGGACTGTTATAGGCTGTTGATGATGATGATAGCATATAAGCGTTTTAGTTGTGAGACTATAAGCTTATAATATTACTTAAATAAATAAATGGTAACTTAAAATACAGAGGCAACAACCGGTAGATTACACATTTATTTTGTGCAGTTACAACACTAGAGAGCCATGTGTGATAATTAATTTTCAACACTAGTACATAGATAATAGACGCTATCATAGTATACAAGTTATCTGCCTGTCATCTGATAAGAGCCGATCGATTACAAAACGGTTATTGCTACTATCGAGATATACTTCCTGCAACTGATAACGTTATCGTTTAGTTTAGATGTGTAATAAATAATGCACTCGCAATGGTGAGGGAAAATTGATATTTCATAACTTAAGTGCTTGTATGTAACACAATTTAAATACAAAATGTGTATGTATTTAAAAACAATGACACCTTATGCTTGAGAATAGAGTGCATACAACACAAAAAATGTGTCTGAATGATTATTTTCGTTTTGATTAACACAAAATATAAGTGCGTATATAACATTATTGAAATCTTACGTTTTAATTCAATTTTCTTATTTGTTAATAATAATAAATAGATAATCAATACTTTATTCGTTTTAACATTGCATGACTTATTATTTGACTAGGCTACTGTCCCATAGGTATTTATTTAATTTCACTAGTCCAGTCCCTTTACTAGTCCACTGCTGGACATAGGCCTCTCCTTAGATAGGAGGGTTTGGCTTACTATACCACGCTGGCCAGTCGGGTTGGTATAGGGTTTGTTTCAAGTTTTCCTTCTCTTTGCAGTGCGGTTGTTCTGTTCAGTTTGTTCCCTAGGTCGGCTCTAACGACACCCACCCCTTCTTAATCCGTCACCACACGGACATCGGGCACTTTTGAATTTACTTTTGTTGTAATCAGTTATAAACTTTTATCTCCTCATGTATTTCAAAATAATAAAGTATCTGTTAACGGCTAGATGATAAAATAAAAAGGAGTGGGAAAAATAAAATTAAGCAAATAACTGTGGAAATTACTCACCCCTTGTGGTAGATGCAAAGGCAGGGCAGGCGGGCGATGGTGTCTCCGGCAGATAGCTCCTCCAGGCAGATCACGCATTCCCCCTTGGAGTCACTCAGCACATCCTCTGAAACGCACCGTGTGAAAATCTTTAGACATATAAGTTAAATAAAAAAACAAGCAATAAAACTACATCATATCACAATATTATCATATGGATGCGAAAAGCCCAAAATCGATCTAAGTGGCGTGCAATGGGAGAGGCCTATGTCCAGCAGTGGACTGCAAAAGGCTGATGATGATGATAATGATGATATCACAATAGCGAAGTATGACGTCAGTAGTCGCTATCTGACTTGACAGTCAATTTCAGTATATATTAAAATGGGGTAATTTAAAAATTCTTAAATTTCTCATTCTATACAAAGAAGTACGTATATTTATAAACATATTTGTCAAGAAATATATTAATCGTATAAAATTCTTTATAATTGAACCCAATCCCGTGTATTCAAGTCTTACTAAAATACCCGGCGGGCCCAAAAGGCACGATAATAAAGTTGTGTGGCCCTACATAAAAACCATTTCAGTGTAAACAAGATAAACAACATTTCTATGCATAAAAGGATCACGGGCAGCCGTGGTGGCTCTCCATAAACCAGCTTTCTACCTTAAATATCTAAATTGATGTGGCGGGCTTAACATTTTACCATCGAGATTATGCTATGTAGGAAGAAAATGCCAACAAAACAAATGAACAAGAGAACATTTATATAATTTTCTAATAATGACCAAATGTTTTTTAAATGATCAATATTTCGTTCTAACTCCATTTTTTTTTGTTTTATATTGCATAGACGAAAATAAAATAAAAAAACAACTACATAACTGACATAATATAACAAGCTGTGACTCAATTGATTAGAACAAATTAAATTACTCAATACATGTAAAATATAGTTGTAATCAAGTGCATATTTTAAAGAAGCTTAGTATGCTACTTTTTGGCATGACAGGAGCCCTTTAACAAGGAGCGAGGCGACCTGTCTATCTATAGTAGCATTTTCTCTATCTTTGATAAATATGAAAAACCAGTAAAGACCCTTTTCCTAATCACATATTTTTCTTTGTCATCACTTAAAATAAAATAGACAACTCCCGCACTAAGAATATATTTTGTGTCACGGGAAACTTAACAGACACATGAAACCGACACCCAGAATACCCAGACTCAGAACAACAATTTGTGGATCACACAAAGTGTTGTCCCATGTGGGGATCGAACCCACAACACTCATCGCAGCAGGAAGCGGCGAGGTGAACGCTTAAACCACTATGCCATACGTGGAGTGAAGTCACTCACAGTACAGAATAGAAAACAAGGAATGCACAAGACGAACATGTGCGGTATGTTATAGAGTAGAGTAGATACTGACCGTTATACGAGAGCCTGGGCCTGGTGAGACACATGACGAGATGGCACTCTATGTCGTCCGGCAATACAAACTTGCTGCATACAGGACATTTTATACCTGTAATAGACAGAAAGGAATACTTAAATAAATTGTTTATGTACAAATTGTCATGAGATTAGTCGCACAAAATTGTAATAAAAGTAGTTTTCTAATAATAATATTTTGTATTGAAAGCTCAAAAATAAATTGTATATTCGGATGTCCCACTTTGGCACATTTTATAACAATATTTTGTCTTTTAATGATTTGGTGTATTTTTATACGGCAAATCATTAAAAGGAATATCTTAGAAGATATCAGAGATTTAAAATGCGTGGCAAAGCCCTCCGGCCGGTCGGAGCGGGCATATAAAGACGTCCTGTAGTAGTCTTATCATAATAATAGTATAATTAATTACTCTAGACTGACACCACATCAGTAGTATCTACATTGCACCCGTACGAAGCCGGAAGGATCGCTTGTATATAAGGCATATTTGTAGATGTAAGCGCTCTGTTCTATGTCCCGAAATTTAATTATATTTAATGCGTCAGTTAGTGATCCTCTCCGACTGAATAGTTAGAACCTTATTATCGCGAGAGACTAATCAACAACCTTTAACAGTCCACTACTGGACATAGGCCTCTCCTTGGAAATAAACTTTTGGCCTACTATACCACGAAGGCCAGACGGGTTGGTATAGGGTTTATGTCAAGTTTTTCTTCTCTTTGCAGTGCTGTTGTCCTGCGTAGTTTCCTCCCTTAGTCGGCTCTTATGACACCCACGGGACGAATAGGGGCGGTGAAATTCCATATTATTAATCCGTTACCACACGGAAACTCATCTCACTTTAATGAATATTATATAAAAGAGCAGCGCTAATAAAAGCATTAGGAGTGAAGCCTTTTTCGTGGGAGTAACCTCATAAATTATGTAGGGTGGTCGTATAAAATTCTGTTTAGAAATATTTTGTGTCAGTCAAGCTCTTAGGAGCCGGCCAATTCCAGTATAATATGCCACGGTATTATACGGCCTAAATACTGGTACTTGATGTATGGGATGAGGACAAACTGTGATGCCACGGAGTTGGGAGTTGGCACACGTGAAGCTACAAGATCAGTTGAAAGCAATAAAGAACAAACAATGGAAGAAGCCAGCGCTTAGTTTTATTTCACATTATATTAGAAATCAATTAAATAAATGGTCGTCACAAATATGCACGTCACAAAAGGGCTATTTAATGTAGATTATCATTAAATGATCCACGTCATTAGCTTGATTGTGGGCAAACGCAGCCGGCTGTCAATCGATAACATTTGTGTTCAACTCTAATGGGTACATACATTTTAAATGATACGCTATTTGTCGTGATCAATACTACAATTCAATTCACACACTATTTCATAACATTATATTGTTTCTAATAACTAATCTAAACCCACTAAAACATGTGGAATATATTACGTTAGGAATAGGTTAGAGTTAAGATCGCTGGGATATTCCTTATTAATTACACATATACGAGTAATAACACTAAAATACAATTTGTCGACGAATTCTCCTTATTAGGATTAGGATTGGACCTTCATTAACTGGAAAGCTAATATAGAAATCATATCAAACAAATTGGAAATATTCATTTATGCGTTATATGAAATTAAAAAGGCAACAGACTTGAGAACGGCCATGACAGCATACTATGCTTACGCCTACTCCTGGCTCAACTACGGCATTATACTGTGGACACTGAAAAACTCTTTCTCCTACAAAAGAAATGTATTATGATCATGGTGAATATAGATAAAATGGATAGTAAACCTAAACCACATTTCAAAGATCTCACATTAAAGGGTATGTATATATTGGAAATCAGTAAATTTCTCATTCATTCACACATCACATTCACATTCATGACTATTTCCATTGGCGAGTGACCAACGCACACAGCAACAAAATCTTCGTTTTAAAATAAACTGGCTGTACCAAACTCCACGATGGCTAAATTGCACTAGGGGTCCTATGATATGATATGTGCCATAAAATATATAATAAGGTTTCAAATCACATAAAGGCAAATAAAAATTAAAAATCAATTCAAGAATACTTCAGAAAAGCTCCTGATATATAAATGTTACTATAGCATAGATGAATACCTAACTGACAAATAAATAAATATTTATAGTACAATACATGATCTGTTAAGTTCTAATAAATAGATAATAATAAAATGATTTGAAATATCGGTACAGCCGTTTTGAAGATTACCCGGAATAAATAGACAGACAGACAAAAAATATTTAAACTGGTTTTTAGGCATAGGTATCGTGCAAATAACCGTGTAAGCATGAAAAAAACCTATTATTTTGACATTACAAACAGACATTTATTTCTATAGATTGATGAATTGCAAATTAATAGATAATACTGAATATATAGACATACATATTTTCATATGTTTAGCAATAAGTGCGCAATACACCTTTGAATATTTATTTGTAGACAGAATTAAAAAGAATCACGAAAATTCATTTCATCATCATCAACAGCTTTTAGTAGAAAGGAGGTTTTGCCTACTACACCACGCTGGTCAGACGTGTTGGTATAGGGTTTGTTTCAAGTTTAATTCATTAAGTAATTGTCTCATTCGATGACATTAGTTGCACGTACAAAAGATGCATAAACTTCTCTTAAACGCAAGCTTTCGATAACACTTACGAGTATTTTTATTTTTTACGGAAGAAATAAATTGTGAACTGTCACATTTGAGTATGAATTTTTTACCGATATCACAAACGTAGATACTATAGAACATGTCTAACTTAAAAAAAACACAAACATACAGTAGCAGCTTCCCACTAACAAGAACACTATACTATTGTAGGTATAGGCTTCGAGTCAATTATTGCGAGCGGCCTAGCAGAAACTGTACGAGGACCCATCTGTGGGCTCACCAGACTGTGGTTAATGGACTGCTAGGGATGGAGCGATAGCCCTTCAAAATGCTTCTATTTATATCAATCAACTAGCACTCACCGCTTCGTTCAACTCACGCTCTGTATTTTACCATACCCAATAAATGTTTTCGTATGACTCTTAAATACAATACTAAAATTGGAACTTACTGATAATTAAACTAGTTACGTTTAAAACCTCTTTCATCAACATCATCATCATCATCAGCCTATACTAGTCCACTGCTGGACATAGGCCTCTCCTTAGAAAGGAGGTTTTGGCCTACTATACCACGCTGGCCAGACGGGTTGGTATAGGGTTTGTTTTAAGTTTTCCTTCTCTTTGGAGTGCTGTTGTCCTACTTAGTTTGCTCCCTTAGTCGGCTCTTACGACACCCACGGGATGAATTGGGGTGGTGACAATTTGTATTCTTGATCCGTCACCACACGGACTCTGTAATAAAACCTCTTTATTACAGATGAAAAAATGAAATAATAAGTACAGATACTTCGTGGTAGTGCGGAAGCTGAGAATCACACTACCACATTCACACAACGCCATCTAGTCCTAAACTAAGCAGAGCTTGTACTAAGGCTACTAGATAACTGATATTAATACATAATAATAATAATAACCTCACACATCACACACACGACTGTTTGATTCCAAACTAGGCAGAGCCTGTACTATGGTAACCAGACCGCTGATAAACATACTTATATATTTCTATATAGGTACATACATATTATAGATAAATTACACCCAGACACAGAACAAATAATCGTGCTCATCACACAAATATTTGACCTGGGTGGGAATCGAACCCACGACCTCCGGTTTAGCAGTCAGGGTCACTAACCACTAGACCAACAGACCCGTCTAATACTACACAAATACTTTTTTTTTCGAATGTCTGTCTGCTCTCGACTGTTGGCTACAAGGTAAATACTGGCATCAAAATGTCCACTTCTACAGTTGACAGTTACTCCTTTTGTTCCAGAGTAATAAATATAAACACGGATGCGATATATATCTTATTCTGGTCACGTAACCCTCAAACGTTACAAACGTAATAACAATATGAATTTCGTTCTTCGTAAACTACTAAACGTCCTCTGTGTTGACGGATTATTATTTTAAAGACCAGGACTTACATTTGAAATCATAGAAGCATATCTGTATCTATGAATTTGATTCTAAAGTCAGTGTTTTACCTGGCTAACAAGAAAGGACTGACACCGTATTTGCACAACTCTCACGTCAAATAAACAACCTCAACTTTATAATAACACACACTAGATTGTGTGTGTTATTATAAAGCCAAATTTCAAATGTTATTATACTGAATCATTTTAAAAATTCATTGCAGTTCATTTATACAATACGATATATATTATTATAATATTAATATCTATTTCTATAGTTTATTCTTACCTTAAGGCTTAAGCAATCCACCTCATGCGTATGCAACTACGATACATTACACTTTTACATTAACTACCTGTTGAAATTAAGTACGAGAGCCCTGGTACCCATACCACAAGTTAAATCTTACTTTGGGTACCAGAGGTCAACAAAACTATTGTACATGTTGAATTGTTATAACTTATGTGTGTTTTTACTGTATGTATCCTTTTGAGACAATTAATTATATTATTATTATTATTATTATTTGTTAGTTACGCTCTTACGACCTACTTAATCAATCGATCGTCCTGAAATTGTTTACACGTTGTCAAAGGGTACGGAAAAGGGCGTAGGGTACCTTTCATCAAATAAAAAGTACTGCTGCCGAAGTAAACTTCGAAATGATTGACATTAACGTGAGCAAAATCTAGTACATAATACTTTTGTATACATATCAAACAAGGAAAATACAAAAACGTCACAAAAGACGACATAAAAAATCCCTGGTTCTGTGGACGGGGAAAATGTATTGGTTTTTTTATCCGCCAACAATCGTTTATTTTATGCCTATTCCTCTATGAAGCTTTGATAATCTCAGAAACCAAACGAAGAAACCTAACGCTGTCTAAAGACTGTTTACTATAAGACACTACTGTCCTTGACTTGACGAGGTGGCACTTAATATATTTTTTTTAAAGTCTATTAGAGAAACTCGTCTAAATTCTTCAGCAAGCACATTGTCATAAGATATATAATACACGTCAAACATCATCCATTGGCAAACAGCTCACGTAGGTCGGTGAGTGACAGAGCGGCCGGTAGCTATTGTACCACTTACGGCAGGTTACTGCCCATCCAACTAGTCTGCGCTATTGTGTCAGTGATTGATGGAATTATGTTGTTAGTGTGCGGTTATAAAGACGAGTTTCATGTCTTTAGTTTTCATAATATTCTCTTCTAATGTACTACACAAGTAAAATATGAAGCGTGGTCCACGACCTCAAAGAGAAGAACATGTACACTTTCTCTTTTTTGTGGATGGACGGAGGAGGACGAGCAGCTTTTCACCTTCGTTCCAACATCCACCCCCACCACTTAGATAATTGCAGTCCACTACTGTACGCTTTTCCAGAAGCTCGTTGCCTCTCACAACCAGTGTGGGGAGCACATTGGCGTTATTTCCAGACCGCTACAACCTTTCAACCTTAAGACATCAAAAGACATTAAAGCAACGCGCTTATGACTAATGAGTTGCAGGCGTTCATGTGCGGTGGCCTCCGCTGTAAAAACCGGCCTTTTCTCCACTGTAACTATCAAGTTCTGCTCCAATTTATGTGGATTACTCTTAATGTTGCCTGATCCTAGAAGCCTGTAAACATCACATGAGGCTTCTGAGCTTCTGGAAGGAGCTTGGTCGACTCACCGAGCCAACCTTTCCTCGACGCATAAAGGACCACCCTCGAGTCTAAATGCGGAAATCGGAGCCAACAACCAATGTTGCCTGATTTCCGTGCAGGATTATCAGATCAGTGGTATTGTGAACTAGCAAACAGAGGAGTTACTGCAAGGAGCTGGTATGTTACACAAACATAAGTTTGCCATACACGCTCGTTGTGACAATTTGATCTTCCTAATAGTTTATTGTGTATAGCAATAAACCCCAAGGTCTGTTTTGTCTGTTACGTACACAGGAATACTAATTGTTATTGTATAATGCTATTGTACTATACACTCATGTAAACTAATAATAATCAGACAAGGCAGTCTGATCCCAAACTAGGCAGAGCCTGTACTATGGTAACCAGACTGCTAATAAACATACTTACATATTTCTAAATACTTATATTTTATAGATAAATTACACTCAGACACAGAATAAATGACCGTGCTCATCACACAACTATTTCTTCTATGTGGGGATCGAACCCACGACCTCCGGCTTCGGCAAAGTTAATTTTATTTGATATAAATATTGGAAATAAAATTATGTCGCTCACGTTATATAATTCGTATATTTGGAGCCTCAAATTTATCTTTTATTCAAATTATTGGTGGTTGTTAATAAAAGTATTATTCATACTACAAATAAATATTTTGTCTGTGTAGTGACGGATTAAGAATACGGAATGTCACTACCCCAATTCATCCCGTGGGTGTCGTTAGACTTCGTGGTGTGTTGTTTTGCGACTAAGGGCGCAAAACAACCAGCACTGCAAAAGAAGGAAATTTGACACAAACCCTATACCAACCCGTCTGGCCGGCGTTGTATAGTAGGCCAAAACCTCCTTTCTAAGGAGAGGAATATGTCCAGCAGTGGACTATTAAAGGCTGTTGATGATGATAATGATAAATATTTTACATACGTTAAGTGCCCCGGGTTCAGCTGAATAAAATTTTGGCAATAACATTGCATCCCATTTTTTTTTTAAATTACTTGAAGAAGAAAAACCGCACCAAAAGTAAACCCCGATGAACGAGCGTCACGCAGCACATAAACCACTTGTGTAACATTTATATAACACTTTATTTAAGTAATATATACATACTGTAAAAAACACTATTATAATAAAAATGCAAAGATCATATATACGAGAGGCGGTGGAGCAAGAATACGGCGCCTTGAAATGGATTCTATGAACAATATTAGAAAATTTGATGTCACGGTTAGGTACGTACTTTATTCAAGTTTGAACAAGTTAAAAACCAGAACATTCTATCTGAAATGATTTCAAACTATTCACTAAATTATTTAAAATAAGGTAGAGTTTATAATACTAACAAACATTGCTATGATTTTAATTTTAATTTTTTATTATTATAAAATTGTATAACTTTAAGTGATCTATTTAATGCTAATACTTTTATTTCAATATATTACAGATATGCAAGCCTGGTATCATTTATTCTGGTGATCATGTTGCCACTGAGCACCAGCTACATCGATTGTCGGATATCTTGCAGACGTTGCCACGAAAACACAGAACATCCCTCTGTTCTCGAAGTATACTGCGCTATGTGTGAAGAATGCAAGCAGAGGAGACGGGAGAAGCTCGTAAGCAAGACAGGTCAACAGTCATCATCAGGTTCTACCAGAACTGCTCGTAAGAAGCCTATGATGTTTCCCAAAGTAATGCAAACAAGCGCCTCCCAACCGCCCGAACAACATACGTCGCCACCGTCAGAATTCCATACGCCGTCGGAATACCACACGCCGTCGGAATACCACACGCCGTCAGAATACCACGCGCAATCACAATATCGGACAATACCACAACATCGTATACGATCAGGACATCTTAAGCCTCAAGTGGATCGTGCACCGCAAGTAGTGCAGCACTCGCCACATATCATTCACGAACAAGAAGAAGCACATGATGAACTAGCAGTTCCAGCTCAAGAAACACAAGTAGCTAACACACCGTATTTACATAAGAGACATAAGGGACTGCAGATACGTCAAGAAAGTCCTGCCCTGAAACAAAAGAAAGTTATGAGAAATGACGAATCGTGTCAAGAAGAATCGCAGCCAGTAAATCAGCAGTATGTACAAATGCCTTCACCGTTGCAGATGCCTATGGCACCGGCGGGTGGAATACCTATGATGGCACCACCGATGTTAATGCCAGGACGTATAGGTAAACTTTATCCAATTCAATTTTTTTCTTACACAAGTGGGAGTAGGGCTTTTGCATTCAATTTATTTTAACATGAAGTATCGGTAACGAGAGTATAGTTTATAGCGATATCTTCTTTGTTTGTATAGATTGCGTGGCCCACAAATACAATTTGCGTTAAATTAATTTCAGGTATGTACCAAGATTGCCCGTCACCTCCCTTTTGTTCAGAGTCGGAAGAAGAAAGAACACTACTAGAAGTAGAGACACCTAAGTCCACAATGACTACAACGACGACGACTACGACGACGACCACTACAACTACAACCAGACCACCCACCTACAAAACACCATGTATTATAAAAAGAAAGATTCCACCTCCTCCTCTACCCATACCACAGATGCCAATGATGGCGCCTATGATGCCACCTATGGCAGTTATGGCACCTATGATGATGAGCCCTATGATGATGCCGTGCATGCCACCGTATGGGCACCCGTGCATTACTCACAAATCACCTGTTGGAGATCCTCGCCTACTGAAAAATCAATTTCACAAACCAGTTATTCCCGAAGACCCACTTTCTTCAACTACTGCTACTAATTCAGACTACCAGTTTGTGTATGTGGGAATACCCAAAAGTAAGTCGGGAAGCTAGTGTGGACATTAGAGTTCATCATTCACTAATTGTCGTATCTAACAATATTGTCGCGTTGGCACTTACATTACATTTTATATAATGACTCATGGTCTGTGGCTCCAAAACTTGACCGCGATACAACCAGGACACGGCCTGAACAATTCCTTCATTGTTTCTTTATTTACAATAGGTATAGTCAAATTTGTCAGATACGAGGGTTAAGAGAGATAGTCGGACTACATGCAAAGATACATTATGTGTTAGTGTCTGTATGTACATCTTGTTAGACTGTAAATATTTTTATATTGTATTGTAGTGTTGGTGAGCATGTACATATAAATTAAATGCTAGCCTTTTGGTAATTACTAATATAGTTCAATACTAGTTTCAAAAAAATCCTCAATGTGTTGGTAATTTTAAGTTAGAATAGAAACAATGCGAGCCGCTCACACAGAGAATGTAACTAATATATATAGGGTATATAGTCAGATGGATATTGGTGAGTAACGTCCAGTGAAGCTGTATACATTGTAGTTATTATTCTGTCAGGAAATATTAAATAAAACTAAGAATAGTTAACATAATACTTACAGTACGGTGTGCAGTAATAGTAATAAGTTTTCATTTGCTACAATACATACTACCCTCATATGCCGTTCAATAATCTATTCACTAATATGTGAAGGCAATTCTAGTATATTTTTCTGAACTTACACAACTTAAGAAGGGAAATAATTATAGGCTTACTTTTACGACATTTTAAACTTTATTGATATATCTTTACGCTTTTTATTATGTTAGAGGGGGCAGACGTGCAGACGGTTCACCTGATGGAAATTGACCATCGCCGCCCATGAACGTCTGCAACTCAGGAGTCACAAACGCGTTGTCGGCCTTTTAGGAAGGAGTACGCTCTTTTCTTGAAGGTTTGAAAGTCGTATCGGTCCGGAAATACCGCAGACGGTAACCCGTTCCACAGATTGGTTGTGCGGGGCAAAAAGTGTTTCGAAAAGCGCACAACATCCAGGTGATGAGGGTGAAATTTTTTAACAAATATGACGCACGAAATCATTAAATACCATATTTGTACTTAATGAAAATGAAATGCAGAAATCAATATTTTTTTACGAACATATAAATATATTAATGTAAGCTTAAAAATATTTCTTTATAGACAAACATTACGTGGATCCTAACTATATTTGACCGTGGCTGGATTATAGGTACTCCAGCGTTTATACGTGAAGCTCGTTAATTGATTTTTATTATTACGTACTTTTTGTTTATTATTGTGTATAATAATAAAATATGATGTGTAAGGGAGCCTTAACCTTGAGCTGCGAGGCCGCTTATGAGCTGATATACAAAAATTAAATGAAATATACATATATATAACTGTGTGAGTAGATTTATTTCAATTACGTTGGCTGTACTCGTATCGCGCACTTTGCCTATCTCATCATCATCAGCCATCGCAGTCCACTGCTGGACATAGACCTCTCCCATTGCACGCCACTTAGGTCGATTTTGGGCTTCTCGAATCCAGCTCCTGCCAGCCATCTGTTCAGTTCAGTTCTGATTAAATCCTTGAGATGTAGTCTCTGCGCTTCACAAGTCTTGTAAAACTATAATGAGTTGAGTGGAACTAGTACTACATCCATCCATCGATTGCAAGATTCCTATAATTGTAGTTCAGGGAAACTAGTTACAACACGGCACGGCTCATTAGTAACTTGAAGACATATTTTTTCCTAACAGTTACGAAGGTTATAAATCAATCTTACCTAAGAAAAGAAATAATAGATATTAAACGACAATACCTAGCAGTTTCATCTAAGCAATCCATATTTATATAAGCATAAATGTGGATGAATGTGTGATCCACCAATTGTTGTTCTGAGTCTGGGTGTTATTTGTGTCCGTTTCATGTATGTTTGTAAAGTTCCCCGCGACACAGGATATATGCCTCCTGGGGGAGTTGTCATACAAAAAAAGCAATATATTATATTGTGAATTAATATTTTTACAACAACCTTTTGTCTATTTACACTTATAAATCAAATATAAAAGTAAAAATACTCAGTTTTCTTAGTAATTGCGACGGCAGCGACTGCAGGTTCGAACCTACTCCGACCACAAGGATTTAGCTTATCTGAAGATGCTAAAAAGAATACTAGGAATGGGTAACCCATGTTGGTAATATTCTTAAAACAATATGACCAGAGAAGAGAGGTGTTTTAAAAGGGTAATAGTATAATTAGTGCCTTAACTACCGTTTGTTCTCAGTTAGCTTTGAGCACTTTCGGCCCTGAAGTACAAATAGTAATTTTTATCGTGATATCAAAGGGACAATCCTCTCTCGGACAATTGTTTCGTTCAAAGAAGTAAGGACTTAATATTTACTACCATTACACAATGGATACAGACAAGAGAAACCCTTCTTGTTGTCAGTAAGGATATAAATATAGATTCTATTTATTAAAATGTCATTATTATCCAATTTCTGAAGTGAATACTTTTTTAGGTGCGTTGGACATTTTTGAACAACAAACAAAATAATGTATTTTTTGAGATATGAAAAACCATTGAACTCGCGACACTGTTACCGTTACCGACACCTCTGTATATAAGGATCTACATACTTTGGCCCCGTCTACACGATATTTTGGGATTTTTTTGTTAGTTTACTGTTCCGCTTTCTCTTGATGAAGAGGTTTTAAAAAGTGCAAAATACAACGCAATTCTTCAAAAGCAAGAAGTAACGGATCCCAAGATACGAGCTATCAATCAAATTTTATATTAATACTTATTGTGCCACTCGGCTATTGGATCTGTGTTTACTAAAGGTTACAAGTATAGTCTTTTACATTAGTAAACAATATAATTCTAAAATATAAAAACAAAAAACACAAGTGAGCCGCAGTAGCCGTATTTGCGTCATTATCTGACCTCTAGGACCGAGCGCGTTGATTGGTTAAATCAAATATGATTTGATCAATGAGATCAGTAAAAACCGGATAAAAAGCGAAATTCGATATGAACAATCGCTATAATGTACTTTACCAGTCTTCTGTTTCTGCAAATACCATTACTGATCAGAGGTTTATAATAGAAACGTTTCGGGTAGACACTTTAATAACTTTAACATTTATAATATCAGCAAAGTGGATTTCTTTGTGTGGATTATAATTTATTTTTGCATCACTGACGGGCTTAACGATCTTGGCTTACTGACATCATGAATACATTCACATCATCATCACATCAACAGTCTTTAATAGTCCACTGATGGGCATAGGCCTCTTCTCAGAAAGGAGGTATTGGCCTACTATACCAGGCTGGCCAGACGGGTTGGTATAGGGTTTGTTTCAAGTTTTGTTTGTCTTTGCAGTGTTGTCGGGATAAATAGGGGTGGTGACACCCTGTATTCTTAATCCGTCACCACAGGGATACATTAATCAATTATAATATAATGTAACTTAACTGTAGTTACACAATCTCGATGTACAAACATGTTTGTGTCAAGTTTGGTCACGCGAGATCACTTGTTGCGTCCATCGATCGGGACCGTGCACCTAGTTTATAGGCATTATAACTAGACAGAGATGGGTTGCCTCCAGATAATAATAATAACTTGACACATCTCGCATACAGCCGTCCGTTTCCAAACTAGACAGAACCTGTACTTAGGTAACCAAACTCCTGATTGACTTACTTATATATTTGTAAATACATACATATTATAGTCAAGCTAGCTGAGACCCGGCAAACGTTGTTTTGCCATATACATTATTTAATTTTTTTTGTCAAAAAAAAATAGGTGTATGAAAAATGGATGTTTTCCGATTCTTAGACCTTTTTTTTTTTTTTTTTTTTTTTTTTAACGCGGGGAATGCTTTTCGCACCATACCCTCCGTTGGGGAAACGCAGGGCGTGTGTGGGACTCCCGGAGAACCGGTCTACCCACTAAACCCCGCGGCGGCCTACCTCGGCAGTCAGGAGGACCTCCAGGAACGCATCGGCGGCTTCTGGAGTCCTCCCTGCCGTACCCCATGTCTGAGGCACATCCCGGGGTGACTGTAGTCACCCTAGGGCGGGGGGCTGCCGCGCCTTTCACTACTGTATACAGTAGGAGGCGCAACAGCGCCCCGCCATGGACAAAACTTCCCGGCCGCACCGGAGTGTCGTCTGTCTCGGGTCGTTTGCAGCGGCCACATAGCCCCAAGATGTGGCCGCAGCGACCCTTAGGCGGCGATTGGGAAGCTAACGACCTCTGCCGCGTCCCCTTCGTCGCCTCCTTCGAGCGGGATCGGCCCTCTCCCGATCCCGCTCTGCGGCCTCCTTCTGGAGCATAACGTCCTCGCAGAAAGAGACCGCGGCTGCCCATCCCTCGCCACTAGCCAGCATTGCCGCGATCAATGCTGGCGGTGACAGGTTTCGTCCGATCTGTCCGACCAAGACTTGACGTTCGGACTCCCACGCAGGGCAGTCCTCCAGCGTGTGCTGGGCGGAGTCCCGGTCGGACCCGCAATGGTGGCATTGTGCCGTGACCTCCCGTCCAATTCGATTCAGATACTCACCGAAGCAACCGTGCCCGGTGAGCACCTGAGTCAATCGGTAGGTGACACAGTCGTTCCTCCCTACCCACGCTTCGAAGCTCGGCAGAACGGCTCCGACTGCGCGTTGGCTAGCACAGCCCTGGATTTCGAGCCGTGCCTGCCAGGTCCGCAGAGCCTGCGTATGTGCGTTCCGCCTTAGCATTCCGGGATCATGATCTGGCGCGGCCCCTTCACCATTCCGACCGACAGAGCGAACTTGGTCATAGACCATCGCGTCCATATCTGCCAGAATGTCGAAGGGTGGATATCGCGCCAGGACCGTTGCCGCCTCAAACGAGATCGTACGATAGCCCCGTACGATCCGTATGGCCATCAACCGCTGCAGGCTTCTAAGTAGAGCCCTGCAGCGGGAGGCACCCGCCAAGTCTTTAGCCCAGACGGGCGCCCCATAGAGGACCA